CTATTACTATTTTAACGCTGCCACCACCAATACAATTTATAAATGGGGTGCCTTGATACCCGAGTTAATGTAATAATAAAAACCCACCAAATACAACTTAACACAATATCTAAGCAATTGCAAAACACTAATTAGTCTCTTTAGGTAACGTGATTCTTTACCAGACAAAGGCATAACTTAATAAAGGAATATTTATTATGAGCAAAAAATAAAAAAAATATAGATGACAAACAAATTAATTACACCAACAACTGATAAAAACAAAAGGGATAAAATAACAGAAGTCCCAATCACTTACTAGGTTTTCAAAGTAAAATTCTGCCCAAGGGGTCTCTGGTAAAAGGTGGTGACACACTTAGAATTAGATTCTGGCCCCCAGGCAAGTACAAATACACATCTGAGTATCATTGGATATATACCCTGTGGATTACCAAGCCTGGCCCCCAGAGGTGGAGATAAGGCGTAACTATAGTAACTATAAGTGACCACCCCCTTGTGTTCCAGACCAATATCAATCCAAATGGAAACGCTTGGTTCTATCTCCTCTTATGTACTTTCCACAGAATTAATAATAACATCCATGAATTCGTTACCATTTTCCAAGCCATAGATATTCCACACAACTTACTTGTGACCCAATATAGCAGACATCACAATCCCTTCCCCTATGGTTAAGTTACACAAATCATGTTTGGGCTTGATTAGAAGATTGTGCTGGTCACATTCCAAATATAACAAAAATGAGGCTTAATTATTATTCTGTGGGTAAATATTAATGTTTCTTTCTTTTGGATATGATACTGGAGCACAAATCTAATGGCCATTAACATATCAAAGGACCCTCAATCTAAGAGCGAATCTAGACATATGGCACATTAGAGAGTTAGTTTATATTTAAACCAGACTTCCAGGCCACTTATATGTGACTTCTCACACCGTACAGAGCCTTTGGTTAATCAAAGGATACATCCAAATGGTAATCCATCTGACTCCTTTCACATTCCTATGCAATTTACATTACCCCTTCTGACCTTGCAACCATATGGCCAAATCATATATGCACTACACAAATTACATTAAATGGCAAGATTCTATTGTGCAACAATAAATTATGCCCCCTTGGTGTGACAGAGGGGGGTGTTGGAGTTTTGTATAGGGGGCACTAGGTTTTAGTCAAGGCTGGGGCTAGGGTTTACTAGAGGGGGGGGCTGGAGTTTATTGAGGGGGGCTGGAGATTAGTAGGGGGCTGGAGTTTAGTATAGGGGACTAGAGTTTAGTAGCAGGGGCTGGGGTTTTGTAGAGGTGGGAGCTGAGGTTTAGTAGAGGGGGAGCTGGGGTTTAGTAGAGGGGGTTACTGTTTTTTTTATACTGTACGTTTTGAAATAAACCTACGTTTCTATGAACATTTAAGATTTAGTTTTTTTGCAGCCCACATAAACTTAAACCTTGTTTATTTGGCCCATGTTAGCCCTTGAGTTTGACATGCTTCTTCTACTTATGGTAAGTGGATACACAGAGCTCATTCGCAACAGCATAATATCGGTGATGGTTTCTACAACATTCCTGCTCAAATGTTGAACGTGTGTCTGGTATATACACTCAGGGCCAGATTAAGAGCCCGGTAGGCCTGGAGCTGACAATTATGATGGGCCCAATTACAGAATCTTATCGACCAAAAACACTAAAACAACCATAACTCCTGATGGAGATGGTGTTGGAGGGAAAGGATGCAGCTATATGAAAACACATACTCTATGCTAATTTCTCTCTAATTTATGCTTTAATCTTTCAAGTAAATCCATACCCCCTAATAGCAGTGTCCAATGAAGCAGGAAGTCAATGGGCAGGGTAAAAGGGTGTGCCACTGACGCGAATCACGTGACCAGACCTGCCAAAAGGGGTGAACATGCCCAAAAAGGGGACATGTTTGTCCAAAGAATTGGAAGGCCAGCCTGGCATGAATGCATGTCAGGCTGCCTACCAATCATGCAGGCTGTCCAACTAAGGGCATACTATGCAGGCAGCACCCTGAACTTGACATAAATGCATCAAATGATGCTCCTACTCCACGCTTTCTAAGGACTGTCCCCTAGCACTCACATGTCCACTTGTCTTATTGTATTTGTTCTGGTAAGTAGAATCATTCCCTTCAGGCTTTTTGCATTAAACACGGTCTTTTCAGAGAAAATAACTCCACTAACCACTCCTTACATGGCTGCTAGAGGTGCTTCCAGGGGCAGTACTGCCTAGTGTGCAGCACTGCCATTCAGTGTCTCCACCCTCTGCATGCAGACATTGAACTTTCCTCATAGAGATGCATTAATTCAATTTATCTTTATGAGGAGATGCTGATTGGCAAGGGCTATGTTTGACTGGTGCTGGCTCTGTCCCTGATCTGCCTAGTTGACAGTCTCAGCCAAAATGTTATGGGGAAGCATTGTAATTTGCTCAGACCACCACTTCTGATGATGTCAGTTCAGGGGCAAAGACCAGCATCTGCAGACTTGAATACAAGTAAGATTTTACTATATTTAGGAAAGCAAGAGGAGGTCAGGGGGGCTAGATGGTGGTTTTTACATAATAGAGTCAGAAATATATGATTATGTTCCTGACCCTATCATGTTCCTTTAAGCAAGAGTATGTGAAGAGTAGTTAGGGTTGCCACCTTTCTTGGAAAAAAAAGTGTGACATAAGAGAAAATTCTGTATAATCACCAACAAATTACTCAGTTTAAATTCTGCTGTATAGATGAATTGCTCCTAGTGTCTCCCTGTCTCAGTCTCGCAAGTCACCCTGTGTCTCAGTGTCAGTGTCCCTATGTCACCCAGTCCCATAGTCTCCCAGTGTCCCCATTTCACTAGGATACTAGGGGACACTGGGAACATGGGTACACAGAGACTCAGGGACACTGGGAGACATAGGGGCACTTGTGAATACAGACAAGAAGACACTGGGAGACATGGAGACACTGGAAGACATGGGGACACTGGGACACAGAGACATGGGGACACAGAGACATTCACTAGGGGTACCAGTCTCACTTACGAAAACGGAGGGTCCCGACACAATTATCAATTTCTTAGGGATACAACTAGATTCGGTGGCTAGGAAAGCCAGTCTTCCCCAGGGAAAAATCACGTTCATCCTTCACGACATCAATCATTACAGACATACCGGCTCATGTAACCGGAAAGAATTACAATCACTGCTAGGCTCACTAAACTTCGCAATGAGAATCCTCCCACAAGGTAGAGCATACATTTCCAGACTCTGAACACTGAAACATTTGGGGACACTAAGACACTTGGGACATTGAGAGACTAGGGGACACTGGGAGACTAGGGGACACTTGTGGACATGGACATGGGGACACTGGGAGACATGGGGACACTGAGAGACATGGGGACACAGACACCTGGAGACTTGAGGACACTGGCTGGGAGACATGGGGACACTGGGAGACATGGAGACTCTGAGTCACTAGGGACACAGAGAGACATGGGGACACAGACACTGTGAGACTAGGGGAAACTGGGAACCATGTGGACACTGTCCTAATGTATCAGTGTCTCTCAATGTCCCTATGTCTCACAGTGTCCCTTAGTGTCTCAATGTCCCCATGTTTTCCAGTGTCCACAAGTATCTCAGTGTCCCCAGGTCTCCCAGTGTCTGTGTCCTCATGTGTCCACTAGTGTCTCAGTTTCCCCATGTGTACCTGCTGCCTTTCCCCCATCCCTCACTTACCTGAGCTGCTGTCTGGACTCTCTGTGCTGTGTAGCTGCTCCCCTACGGATCAGTGAGTAGGAGACAGGCAGGGATATGCTGTAACTTCCTATCTCTACCTCTCTCCACACGCACTGGCCGGTGCTGGTATTGCAGAGTAATCTCTGTTTAAACTGAGAAAAACACCTGCATTTGTATTGCCGGTATTACTGCAATACTGCATAGCCAGGCAGCCTCAAATACCGGCTGTGCCAATAAAATACCAGTCAAGTGGCAAACCTAAGAGTAGTGTGTTAAAAAAAAATAATAATAATAAAAAAAAAGTAAATTGTTTTTTTTTTTTTTTTAATGGGCCTATTCCATGGGCCTGGGCCTGGGCCTGGAGCTGCAGCTCCATCATCCCCTATGTTAATTCGGCCCTGTATACACTACTATTACTGCTCATCTTTGGTTCAGAAAGCGAGAGAAAAGTAGTCTAGTAAAATCACTGTAGCTTTTCTCATCAATATTGTAAGGTGTTAAGAAAATAATAAATAAACATAAATAAAATAATAAAAATGATATTTGTGATGTGATCAGAGTAGAACTGACTCTTATTATCAAGGCTAATAGATATCAATACAATATAGCTAGGTCATGACAAGTACATTCCAATACGCAAACCCAGGTCAAACAGGACCATATTACTGGTCCTTAGAGTGGCTGGGCTTACCATATATATTATTATTATTATTGGTATTTATATAGCACCAACTTATTCCGCAGCACTTTACAATATTATGAAACGGGGTAAAACTTAACAATAAATGAGACAGTTACAAAACGATACTGGAATATATGTAGATAAGGACCCTGCTTAAATGAGCTTACAGTCTAGAGAGAATAGTTAAAGTCAGGCTAGAGTCAAGGATTACTGAAGAGCACAAGGTTGAGGAGCAAGCCAAATGCCAAAGGGTAGAGTAATCAGGATAAACAATAGACAGAGTGGACTCAAAACCAAAATCCCCATAGGCACAAACAGGTCACTCTCTCGGATACAAATACAAAAAGAGAAGTCCTGCGCTCACTGCCATCACTCCTGGGCGGCAGCAATGACCACAGTACACATCTGCCCCAATATATAGTTAAAAACAAAAAAATACAAATAAAGTTACCTGCGCTTTCTCCCCAATTCCTATGTATATTTAGACAAATGGAGGTCATTTAGTTACTCCAATGGCCATTGGAGGGAATGCCCGCCTGCCAACATCAAGGCAGACCCCCCCTAAGCGGGTCCTACACTGACCCTTCACCTTGCTTTCTTGAGCCTCTGGCAAAGATATCTCCACTGAGACAGAGAGGGGTATAAGTATATACGGGTGTATATAAAAAATACCCATCTCTGTCGCAGTGGAGATATCTTTGCCAGAGGTTCAAGGAAGCAAGGTGAAGGGTCAGTGTAGGACCCACTTAGGGGGTCTGCCTTAACGTTGGTAAGAGGGCATTCCCTCCAATGGCCATTGGAGTAACTAAATGACCTCCATTTGTCTAAATATACATAGGGATTGGGGAGAGGGTGTGTTTGTGTGTAGTATTGTTGTTTGAATGCAGGGTGTGTGTGTGTGTGTGTTGTTGGTTTTTGCCTGTAGGCATGTGTTCACATGTATACATACATTGCCACATAAAAATATACAGATGCACTTTGCATGCATACACTGCCATACAGAGATACACCCTAAGAGATATACACTGACACACAAATTGACACACTATTGTATACACTATAGTGTATAGTGTAGAGACACATCTAATATGAGTAGAATGGGGCTTATTTTGCTGTGACCTACTACTAATCATCTTTATCCATTGTCACATGTTTGTGTGAAGTTTAAATTATTACAGAAACATACTTGATATATGAACTGAAACAAGATCCAGTTATATTCTATACACTGCAGGTGTTCTGAAAAATTAAATACAGCCACATAACTGGAAGTCTGGTATGTCAATGAAAGATTCCAAACATCTATTTATGGTTCTACTTGAGTATGGGATATTGCAAAACAGCCATCCTCCTCCAATCTAAAGTCTGGTAACTCCATAGTCTGATCGAGTATTGAATAACCGTGCATAACTACAGAAGTAGTGCTTTTGAAAAAAAAGTAATAAAAAAAGAAACATTTTTAACATATGAGAACATATGAACTTTTCACATTTCAGAAGAGGCTTTATTTTCTCATTCTTAAATAAGTTTTGGTATATAGATATTATTATGGTGCTTACATTCTTAACTGAAAGACAAATTAAGGATCTTACACCAAAATGTTGGGAATAAAACCCATCCACTGCAAAAGGAAAGATAAATTAAATAAAACAGAAATCTAAACTTTCCATCTCACGAATATTATTATGGGTAATGAGCTGTTACAGGCAATGTAATCTCATGGCACATGTGACATCTTCGATTAGTTTAAGGAGTAGATCAGAGTAGAGGAGAAAGACAACCAAGTGGCATTGATACATCCGTAATGAGTCTGTAGAAAATATACTAGATGGTTATGGCGGTTTAATACACTGATGCCCTGCCACTGTCTACTTCATCATTAAGTTTTGTGTTTTGCTTTAAAATGATCATTTCATTGTTTTGTGCAAATAATATATTTTGTTTTTAAGGCAATTGTACTGCTATTAATACACGCCGAATAAACCTGTAATATCAATTCACGCTAAGACTTCATTTATAATTTTTTTCCTGACTAGACTATAATTAGAGTCAAATGTTTAGTATCAATTTGGTTTTCACTTTTATATGCAAAGTGTGAAAATCATGCCACAATTACTTCAGCCAATAATAGCCATATTGCAGTACTCTTTATAGAAGCACTGTAGTCACCAGAACTATTACAGCTTAAATGACCACTATAGGCAGCCAGACCACTTCAGCTTAATGAAGTGGTCTGGGCATGGGCGTCCGCAGGAATTTTTCCAGGGGGGGGGCATAATTGTAATGACATCCATGCTTGGTACCTTTTTGACCGTGTCATGAAAGGGAAGGGGCATAGCCATTATCACATAAAGCCAGGGTGAATAGCGTTTTCACAACTATGGTGTCAGGAATATAGGTTTGTATTCCTGACACTATAGTGTTCCTTTAAGCAAATTAAAGGACATTTCTGGTCACCATAACAACTTCACCTAAATGAAAATGCTATGATGCCAGGAAGCCCCTGGGTGCTCGCTTTCCTTTAAGGGGTTAAATCGCTCTCAAATGGTTTAACCCCAAAGGCTTCCTCCAGCTCCAGGTCGCTCAGTGGTATTTGGCTTCTGAAACAGAGTGTCAGGAAGTGCAGATTGACGTCAGGCATGGGTGCCGCTGATTGGCTAGAGTGGTCAGTTGACGCTCTAAGCCAATCGCTAGTTCCCGGTTCATAAAATATTTTTACTTTTTTATGAATGGGGAGCTACTGATTGGCTTAGAGTGCCAGCTGACCGCTCTAGCCAATCAGCAACACCCCTACCCAACGGCACTCTGTGCTTCCTGACACTCAGTAAATAAAAGTGAACACATTAACACCGATATTTTTTTACCTTTGGAGATGAGTAGGTCCAGCGTTTCCCTGCCAGGCCCAGGTACCAAAGCCTTATGATGTGGTGTCCAGAATAAAGTGGAGGGTTCACTTCATTTGTCCTTCCTGCTCCAATCTCCTTTTCCTCTCCTTCATTTGACAGTCTTTTTTTTTCTTCTGACACTGTTTTCTATCCTTGGCCCCTTCTGCTCTTTTACCTTTCTGCTACTTTCTGCTTATTTTGCGCCCTTCTGCTCCTCTCATTCTGATCCCTTTCTGCTCCTTGCAGACCCTTTCTGCTCCCTTTTCTACTTTACCTTTTGTGCTCCTTGCTGTCCCTTTCTGCTCTTTCTCCTACTTTACCTTTGTGCTCCTTCTGATTCTTTCTGCTCCTTTACCTTTGTGCTCCTTGCTGTCCCTTTGTGCTCCTTCCTGCTCCTTGCAGGCCCTTCCTGCTCATTCTCCTACTTTATGTTTGTGCTCCTTCTGCCCCTTCCAGCTAATTTCTGACCATTTCTGCTCCTTGCAGGCCCTTCCTGCTCATTCTCCTACTTTGTTTGTGCTCCTTCTGCCCCTTCCAGCTCATTTCTGACCCTTTCTGCTCCTTCTACTTTACCTTTGTGCTGCTTTACCTTCCAGCTCCTTGCTGACCCTTCCTGTTCATTTCTATATATCTATAGGCTGCTGCCCCCCCAAATCTATAGGCTGCTGCCCCCCCAAAAAATCTATGGGCTGCTGCCCCCCTCCCCAAATCTATGGGCTGCTGCCCCCCCAAATCTATGGGCTGCTGCCCCTCCCCCAAATCTATGTGGGCTGCCATACCCCCCCTCCAAATCTGTGGGCGCCCCTCAAATCTAAAAGGCTGCCAGCTGCCCCCTCAAATCTATGGGCTGCTGCCCCCCTCCCCAAATCTATGGGCTGCTGCCCCCAAATCTAAAGGCTGCTGCCCTCCCCCAAATCTATGGGCTGCTGCCCCCAAATCTATAGGCTGCTGCCCCCCCCAAATCTATATGTATGCAAGGCTGCCCCCAAATCTATAGGCTGGCCGTGCCCCTCCCCACCCATGGCTGCTGCCCCCCACCCTGGTGGGCTGCTGCCCCCAAAATGCAAAGGCTGCTGCCCCCTAAATCTATGGGCTGCTGCCCCCAAATCTATATAGGCTGCTGCCCACCTCCCCAAATCTATGGGCTGCTGCCCCCAAATCTAAAGGCTGCTGCCCCTCCCCACATCTATGGGCTGCTGCCCCTAAATCTAAAGGCTGCTCCCCCCAAATCTATAGGCTGCTGCCCCCCTCTCAAACCCTCCCCCCATCCCTCACTTACCTGGTCTGTAGGCTGTCTCTGGCTGCATGTGTTGCTCCCCTGCGGTTTCAATCAGCAGAGAGAAGCAGGGATAAGATGCAGCTTCCTATCCCTGTCTCTCTCCATACACAGCGCCACCTACTGGCCGGCGCCGGTATTGCAGTTCATTTTATGTCTCACACAAAATAGCAGAACAAGCTGAAAAATCCAGGGGGGGGCAAGTGCCCCCCCTTGCCCCCCCTGCGGACGCCCATGGGTCTGGGTGCCTGGTCCAGCTAGGGTTAACTCTTTTTTTTTATAAACATAGCAGTTTCAGAGAAACTGCTATGTTTATGAATGGGTTAAGCCTTCCCCTATTTCCTCTAGTGGCTGTCCCATTGACAGCCGCTAGAGGCATTTGCGTGCTTCTCACTGTGAAAATCACAGTGAGAAGACGCAAGCGTCCATAGGAAAGCATTATGAATGCTTTCCTATTAGACTGGCTGAATGCACGCGCAGCTCCTGCCGCGCATGCGCATTCAGCCGAAAAGGGGGAGAGGAGGAGGAGAGTTTAACCCCTTCCTCTCCCCAGAGCCCGTGGGAGTGGGACCCTGAGGGTGGGGGAACCCTCAAGGCACTATAGTGGTCCTTTAATGCAGCTGTTCTGATGAGTATATTCTGTCCCTTCAGGCTTCCTGCTGTACACACTGCCTTTTCATAGGAAAGGCAGTGTTTAGATTACAGTCTAGGGCCACCTCTAGTTGCCACGCCTCTGATGACCACTAAAGGTGCTTCCTGGGGCAATGCTGCACAGTGTGCAGCACTGCCTTTCAGATCCACTGTCTCCACACTCTGCATATAAATGCTGAACGGTCTGCATAGAGATGCATTGAGTCAATGCATATGTATGAGAAGATGATGATTGGCTAAGGCAGCGTTTGGCCCCGTCCCCTGCCATGCCTCCTTGGCTGAGATCATCAGCTAATCCAATGCTTTCCTATGGGAAAGCTGATGATGTGAGCCAAGGAGGCAGATATGAGCCAGCGCCAGCGGACCTGCGCTGGAAAAAAACTATTTTTTTAACTTATTTAAGAGGGATAGGGGGTGCCAGGGTCCCTACATGTGTTTTTAACACTATAGAGTCAGGAATACACAATTGTATTCCTGACCCTATAGTGTTCCTTTAATGTTTAAAGGACCACTCTAGGCACCCAGACCACTTCAGCTTAATGAAGTGGTCTGGGTGCCAGGTCCCTCTAGGATTAACCCCTTTTTTTTATAAACATAACAGTTTCAGAGAAATTGCTATGTTTATAAATGGGTTAATCCAGCCTCCAAATCCTCTAGTGGCTGTCTCATTGACAGCCGCTAGAGGCGCTTGCGTGCTTCTCACTGTGAAAATCACAGTGAGAACACGCAAGCGTCCATAGGAAAGCATTGTAAATGCTTTCCTATGAGACTGGCTGAATGCGCGCGCAGCTCCTGCCGCGCGTGCGCATTCAGCCGACGGGGAGGAGAAGAGGAGGATCGGAGGAGGAGAGCTCTCCGCCCAGCGCTGGAAAAAAGGTAAGTTTTAACCCTTTCCTCTCCCCAGAGCCCAGCGGGAGGGGGTCC